ATGAGACTGTTCGAGTTTTGGAGTTTTGACGCTGTCAATTAATTTGAAAAGTGAAAGATCAAAAGACTGGCTTTATTAGCCCCTAGCCACATGGGCATTCGTGAGCTTAAGACCAAGCCGAGCTCTCTATTAGATAGACCCCGGTGAGGTATAAAAAAACCCAAAAGGATATGTGCTGATGGGTCTTCCCTCCAGAGTTACAGTCATTATACTGGAATTTTAGCCTATTGCATGGTATCTACCAAAAACACTAATCACGATATTTCGACCTGAAATTTTACCCGCAAGTAGGCCTACTTGTAACTAGAATGTTCGCCAAATTTCAGTTCAAAAGAATGTTCCCTTCTTGAGATATTGAATTTCCAAAATCACTCATGTTCTACGAAAAGATTGAAGAATGTCAGATTTTTGGGAAACTCAATATCTTATGAAGGGAACATTCTTTTGAACTGAAATTTGGCGAACATTCTAGTTACAAGTAGGCCTACTTGCGGGTAAAATTTCAGGTCGAAATATCGTGATTAGTGTTTTTGGTAGATATCATGCAATAGGCTAAAATTCCAGTATAATGACTGTAACTCTGGAGGGAAGACCCATCAGCACATATCCTTTTGGGTTTTTTTATACCTCACCGGGGTCTATCTAATACACATGCTCCAAACTTGAAAGCGGCTTGATAGTACAAACCGTTCCATTGTAAGAGGAACTATTTTAGTAGATCAGATGATGCTTGCGTTGCTTGATTCATATAGCCTACCGAGAATCTATTTAACATTCTTGGTTAAGAAACCACGTGAATGGCAGATGAACATTACTTGTTGTGAATTTACTAAAAAACGATTTACAGATCAGAAAAAAAAGTTAAAAGTTGAAGAAAGTATCCATCGTGCATGTATAAAAACGCAATGACACTTGTAAACTACGCCGAGCGCTTTTAGGTTAGGTACCACGGCATTCGTTTTGATTCAATATCGAATCTTCGGATCGTATTTGTTGTGCAGATTGAGATGAACCATAAATCTGACCATTACACTGCTGAATAAGACAGGGCCACTCACACAGCTGCGTTTGTTGATTCCACCAAAGATCATATGACGGACTTTGTGTGACTGTTGCTCGTGCACATCGGAAATCAAATCTTTTTCCACCGATGCAACGATGAAATACATTGCAGTATCGACTCGCTAAAAATGCCTCATTTGCTTGACCCACACACGATACATCGGAATCAACAGTGAATCCGGCTAAATAGAAAAGAGTACAACTAATCATTCTGTTTATTTTTCGCATGCTTCGAGGTAAAGTCATTCATGCCGCTTCAGAAATTTCATTGAGCATTGATAGAATTTCACTTACTCTTCCTATTCTTCTATTTCCTTTTATGACGTTTCGGCAACGTATATTCTCCTATTCCGATTTAAGATGCTTCGCAAGTACAGTGAGAATAACATGGGGACGCGGTCAGCTAAGTCTGCTAACGCAAGAGAATTCTGTGATAGTTTTTCTTCATTTTGCTGTGTCGATATATACCGAATCGAACCACGGAGAGAGTCACGAGACGTCTTAACTTGAAGACAAACGTCGTGTGAACATTTTAAGATATATCTGCGCTCAAGAAAATGTTTCTTTCCGAAGATTTTAATTAAACATTGAGTACTACTTTTCAAAAATTCTCATTCTTCAGAAGCGAAAAGTAGTACTCAATGTTTTATTAAAATCTTCGGAAAGAGACATTTTCTAGAGCGCAGATATATCTTAAAATGTTCACAAAACGTTTGTCTCCACGTTAAGATGTCTCGTGACTCTCTCCGTGGTTCGGTTTGATATATATCGACACAGCAAAATGAAAAAAAAACGTCACGGATTTTTTTTGCATTAGCAGAGTCAGCTGGCCGCGCGGATGACATGAAAAAAATCACCTATATATTTTTATGCTCTTGTTCGATTTTTAATGGACATACCAGCACCTTGGATTTAAAGTGGCTGAATTAGAGCGATTTTTTCCCAATCACGTCGAGAAACTTGAAAGAACGTCATTATTCCTTGTCTTATCGTCATTATTCAATTGTCTTTCTGCTCTGATATTTCCGTTGCGGGCAACATTTCATTCAAATGAGCAGAAAAAAAATGAATAGGCTCAGCTGTTTCAAAATGTTTAGCGGTGGAATAGGGTGATTAAAAGGCGGAAATTTCAAAATTTTTGATTTTCTGGAAAAACAAAAATTTCGCCAAGAATCTTGAACAAAGCGTAAGTATTTAAAAGTGCTGTCATCATTGTCATCCCAGTTTATAACGCAACTGGTTCTGAGCAAGATAGAATTACTTTTAGTCCTCTTGTGTCATAAGAATCGTGAAATTTCGCGTCCAGGTTTGGAAAGTAAGCGCAAAAATTGGGTTAAATAGGAGTGTTTGATTTTTTCACCTGGTTAACGCCTCGTTTCAACAAAAACAAATACTTGTATCGCAATTTAAACAACAAACTGAGTCAAACCATGTTTCTTTTCAACGAAGTTCCAGTACCCTTTTAGGACGTTAGACATCGGGCTGATGGTGGCCTTTAGCCTCATTTAAACTTGGGTTACGTAACGATTGTGTTCAGTTAATTGAATAATATGCACAAAAGTCTATATTTTATAGTCTATTCAAAAAAGCTTTTTAAACTTTACCCCCTGTAAATTGTGAACTTCCTGATTGAGAGCCTGTTCCAAACGATCCAGAGACGCTCCCTCCTCCCACTACTCCCGTTCCGGAGCCGGCTGTGCCAAAGTTGCCAGATCCAGTGTCTGATGAACCGGGATTAAAACTGCCACTTGCTGCTCCAGAGGAACCTCCCCCCGTATTAAAATTACCGCCACCGGATGGACTCGGATTGAAACTGCCTGTTCCTGTACCTACTGATCCCGAACCGGAACTGCCGCCACTAGTTCCTGAGCCTGATCCACCACTGGAGAATGAGGATTGTGTACCGGATCCACTACCGGATGAACCGGAACCGCCTGGTGCTGTACACACAAATGACGTTGACTGGAAGACGGCTTCTGCTTCTTGTTGACTTTCAGTAATCGCCGAACTGCCCGAATCAACAATAACTCCACCGGGACTTGTGCAACGCCTTCCTGTTTCACATGGCCATGTACACGCTGCCGCGGATTCTTGTGATATCCCTTGTGGACTGCCGTGTTGTACCCACCACAATCGTGGACCATTTACCATTCTTGGACACAGAAATGCATTTGAGACACCCGTGAAACATCGATAGAAAACATTACACCATCGGCTGGCAAAAAATCCGTCTTGCTTGCCTATAAACGGAAAAAGGGTTTACTAACACAAATAACGTTTGTAATATAATCTATACTTACCAGCACAAGTAAATTGTTCTCTTGATTGAATAAAGATTTTCCACGGTTCAGTTGGTGCACTTGTACTCAGTAAACTACCGGAAACTGGAGTAGGTTCTTCAATTTGACTATAATACGAATTAGCTGAACATCCATTTGGATTTTGACTGGCAAATTCACATCTAAAAAAGAGCATCATGTAAAGAGCACACGATTATGCCATTTCAAACTAACTTACCTTTGAGTTTGATCATCGAAATAGAATCGTTCACCTACTTGAGGACAGCCGTACGATCGTCGTTGTGCACCAGCAACACAGGCATGAAATACATCACAATATCTTGTATCTCTCCAATGTCCATCAATTCGTCCTTTACAATCAAATTGAACGTTGGTAATCTCTCTTTGGTTTAATGCAGGTGGTAAGTATAGCAATACTTCGAAAATAGCTGAAAATACAAGAAGCACGTTCGATGGTTTTGCCAATCACTCGGTCCCTTGATTTAATTAATTTATCCACTCACTAACTCAAATGAATTAATTTGACTCAAATAATTTCATGTCAGAGATTATGGAACCAAATACTTCTAAGGGAGATGTAACCAGTTAAACTACAAGGGACAGCAATGAATGCTGACGAAGCTCTTTAACTAAAGCACAAAAAGAATTTTTTAAGATAGTTTAAATGAAAATCATGTTGATTCTGACGACCTGTCGTGGTTACAAATGCTTACAAGCTTCACATTTGCTGGCAGCGTCAGATACCTTATGGTGTGCCCACTCCCTCATTTATCTGTCCACTGCCTATTTGTGAGTATTCGGGGTATTTAAGAGCGTGTGAGAATTTTTGCGAGGTGGGGTATTGGGGATAATGATTAATAGTATGGTCACTGTAGAATGTATTTTGGTTTCCGCCGTCATGCGCTGGACAAATAGACAGTATGCTTTGTAGACCCTAAGCTGAGTGAAGAGAAATAGTTCAATTCGAGACCTTTTCAAGTATTTATAGTGTAACCTATCTCTAACTATTTATTGAGAAAAAATCTGTACCTTCTGTCATACTATTTCGGATGACTCTCAGAATAGTACGACATTTTCGTCTCCAAAACGGTGTAATTGCTGAGCTAAGATGTAGACTTTTCTTAACTTACAGATTAAAAAGAGTTGTCGCATATCAGAAATTTGCGAGATTTCAATATAGAGAACACTTGGAAATAAATATTACTTTTTTGATGAAAATTAAATACAACAGTAATACTTTGATATTATGGCTATTAAATATATACAATAACTATCTTAAAAATAAAAATAGGACATCCCACTTGATGACTTTTTAATTTAATTATCAAACACTAATATGTGTAAATATATCTTATGGTCTTTCTCTCCCTCTCTCTTTTTCTGTCAGAATGATTACTCAATACATCCTCTCAGGTAAAATTGTATTCGAGTACAGAAATAACTTAGTCAAAGACGATTTGAAAAAGCGATTAAATTCAGCTTATCAAATACCACACAGCGAGAATGGGGGAGAAGAACGGTAAAATTAACAAAGAAAATAAATTTTTAAAATGTCAAAATAACGAAAAACTATAGATACAAGCCTTATTGAGAGCAGAGAGAAAGGATTAAGGATTAAGGTATAATTACTAAATGCACACTTTCAAGAAGAAAAATACAATAAAACATAAGTGATGAATGATCGACAATTGCTCTTGATTCATGCTTACCATAGAAAATGAGAAATTAAAGACGTTTACTTCATCATAACTATGTAGATCATCATTGATAACGGCATGATTTGAAACCAAGGCAACGAAATCGGGAATTAATCAGAATATCAAACCGAATGTAGCATTGTTATTCCTCTGACTGAAAGTCTGTGGCCGAAAAACGTAAAATACCGGTATTCATATGAAAGCTACCCAGTTTTTATCCGCAACGATTCGAGCCGCGAGACTATGATATTCGGATTGGACTTGTTGAGAAACTTTTGGTGTTTTGTCAAAATGTTGGACGAAAACGTTTTTTTCGAAACACACTGAATTACAAATCATTCAAACGCAGTTTGTTTTTCGTAGACTCCGAATAACACATTAGCTTTAAATAACAGTACTTTTTAACGTTTAAAATTTAAGTTTTTTAGTTTTTCCGTTCTGTACAGTATGAGTGATTCTGATAAAAGTAGTATCGTTTATTTTCAAAAGTTTGACCAGCACGAAAAGCAAACGCTTGGGGGCGATACTTCCAGTATCGCTAGTTTTCTGAAAACCTTGGATTTCCAGAAATCCTTTCCCCCTATTTGCACGCTGTCTATGCACATCCTTAAATTCTTCATGTTGTAAAATCTTTCTACTAAAAATTTTTGGCTTTGTTCACGCGTGTTACATTAAAGTTACAAGAACTCAAAAGAAAACGGTTACCTAGTATTTTCTAGTTTTCTTTCTTACAGTGCAATTTTAGTCTCTGGCATTTTGACAGTATCATCGTGTGGCTAGACTACACTGACAATCGAAAAAAAACTTTTTATCATGTTCCGTTGAGGCGCGATATAGTGGGTGGTTGCAGGATAAATTGTCGGTCAAATCTCACCTAGCATTAATATATCAATTAGTAATATCAAATCATTTGACATGGGTATTTAAAACACCAAGCATCGATCACTCGATTGTAGGAGGAAGATAGGTATTCTATATCATCATTGCCTTCTGATAACTCCGGAGTGCATTCGAGCATTTTCTCTCTCTCTCTCTCTCTCTTTCATGGGCACAGCGCATGTTATTCAAACACATGACAACATTCGAAAAATCCTCATCGAATGCTCGCTTCAGAATCATCAATGCTCTAAGAACGAAGATTAGTAATACAGCAGTATATCAATTAGTAGTGAATCATTATTTTAATTTTTAATTTTTTTCAAAATTTTATTTATCGACGTTTCGAGAATGCAATTTTCATTATCAAGAGAAGACACATAATAACAAGAGAGATGTTTAGCGTACAATAAACTTGAAAATACAACTTTTATGCAATATGCGTCAACATATACCAGAGAAAAAAATATGAATATACGCAGTTCTACTAAATAGAAAAACGCATATTTTACATCAGCTTTATATTCTCTTCTTCTTACTTATTTCTAAGGTTATTTAGTTCATCTTTTCCACAACATATACGGTCCTCTTTTCTTTTGTAGTTCCAATATGCACATATATATTTTATCTCTATTTTTCGATTCAATACAACTATGTTATTTATATTTTTTTCTCTGGTCCAACGTTGACGCATGTTGCACAAAAGTCTACTTTCAATTTTATTGTACGATAAACAAACATCTCTTGTTGTTATGAGCTTTCTCTTGATAACGAGAATTGTATTCTTGAAACATTGATAAATAACGCTGCTGTATTACTAATCTTCGTTGTTAAATTATTTGCTCTTAAATAAATTAAGTGTTTCGCCAATCCTCTATTTGTATGATTTAAGTGCAGCTTTCTTTGCGATGAACAATTTCAGTAAGGCCATAGCTGTCTACGGATCCGTTTTAAGTATTTCCTGGAGCTGAGCGCGGGGATGGTGGCTAGTTTCGTTGTGACTAGACGAGGATCGGTATCGATCTCGAGCGACACTTGATGCAGATTGTACGAGAGTTCGAGGAGGGAGAGAGGGAGCTCTTTTTCAATCAAAACTAGTCGAGAGAAACGCGTATGTCGAAATCAACTGTCTGGCGGAAAGTCTCAATAGCTGAACTTGAAAACTTTATACTAGAGAACAAAATGTGCTGATCATCTTGTGATCAATCCAATCTATCGACTCGTCGATGTTCATCATGGCGATGATCGTGTATAAATCATTGAAATGACACCCATTTTCTTACTCAGCTGGGCTAGCTCTATCCCTATACTTGCGTTGGTCACGAAAATTTCTTGGTTCGAATGACCGTTACGTGTTACACTGCCAAGGTTTCTTAGAATGATTTACTTTAACTTTTATTATGAAAAGTAACCTTGTTATCTTTTTTGCAGTTAGCTCAGTCTTTTTGTTTTTGTTACTAATGATAAATAATAAAGAATTAGGTTAAATTTTTAGAAATACAAATAATATCATTAAAAGTGAATAATATTATAAAGATTTTTTGTATACGCCAGCCTTAGCAACATAGACTTTTTATGTCTCGCTTGTGTGCTACTATTTATCGATAGAAAATTATTTTTTTGGCATTCTCTCAGTATTTTCAAAGAAGATCGAGTTACAGTTTTAGACCCAAAAATCTTGATTTTAAGATAATTTTGGGTCGCGAAATCTCTTATTATGACGAAGTTAATGAAATTAACGCTTGGTTTTTCGATTTATGGATTCACAATTATTCTTTTTTACATTGTTGCTAACGCCGTACTTATTTTCGTTTTTACATTTTTCATAAAAACAGTTACTGGATTCTTTATTTTATTAATTTTGATCATTCTAAATTGTTTTTATCTCTTTGCATATGAATTCTACACCTAATCGTTCTAAGATATGGCCGGTAGTACCACAGCTAAACTCTAGAACAGATTCCCCGGCCCAATATCGGAGTAAATGATTGCTGAATATTCTCACTAAGATATCGGATTTCACTAGTTATTCTAAACCGAAGTTAACATCACACAGAAAGAGACGGGGAAGATCTTCATTGAACGCACCACAACTGAAAAAGATTCGGTCTCATCGAAAAATATATACGCGTATGAAACGTGCAAATCAAAATATATCTGACAGGAGACAAAGACTAGATAAACACCGACAGTATATAGTGAGACAATACTGATTGGGTTGTTCAAACATGCTTTCGATATTTTGATGCTGCAAATAGCTTCCATACTGACCCCTTCACGGGTAACTTTATACCAGCAAGGTAAACCAGTGCTCAACGAAAGGCAGCAAACAATAAGAGCATGTTGTTACAGCGTCCTATGCAACCCATTCTCGAGAATTTCATTGTCAGTTAGCTTGATTCGAATATCAATGAATCTGATGCAGACTTTCAATACTCGATCAGTCAACCTCGACGTGTCGTTAATTCGATTAAAATTTTCGTTCACCCTGATCAACGTATCAATGTATGTAAAAGGTTCATGTAGTTTATGTCATAAGTTTTTGTTTATTATTTTTAAACTACCTGTGCCAGCCATATACTTTGTTGAATATTTTTTCAAGACATTATCGGATACACGTGATAGATCTATGTCAAGTTTAGCTAAATCAATCTGAGATAGTCGAATGTAGCAACTATCCTAAAGATATTTGTGTTTCTACCAAAATAAATAAAATTATAAATATAGGAAAAGCGATAGAGTAATCTTATCTTACATTCTCCATTGTCTGATTCTATGTTATATGTATATAGACCGATACTAAACATTTATCAAATAAACTAGATTATCTGAAAGTAGTGAATAGCATCTAGAACCTCAAGAACCAACAATTTATGAGTTTTACTCGTACGACAACAAATCATTTGAAGTGTTAACAGCTAATATCGATGTTATGCTCGTGTATTTTATATTGTTTTCAAAATATATGCATTACATCTGAGAAAGAAATCAGGTTAATATTGACACCATCAAAAGTTACAGTTTTGCTTTGTTCAACGAAGTATAGCCGAATACTATAGCTGACTCTGGCAGTTTCAAAGTCACTTCTTTATATAATATGAGAATAAATTGAGATTGAGCAATATATATATGTTAGAGTGAAGGAAAGAAACAGAACAAAATAAGAAGAACTATAGATATGTAATATTTTATAGCTTAAAATTGTGTTCTCTGATCTTGGTGTTATTTCAGTCAATTTCCTTACATAAACGCCTGAAGAACGCTTCGCAGCAAGAATATCTTTTGTTTTTCTTAATTATTTTCTTTTGGATGAACACGCAGCAAAAACCCAAATTCTGATCCCATGTATCGAATGGTGATTTAGACACTATCAGAAATTCTTTCTATAAAGTTGCGCAGGTATAGGTAGGAAGTATAGATAAACCACTTTAGCTAAATCTCTAAATCATACGGACCATAAATTGTCTATTACATCCTTCTCAAAGAGTAACAGGTAGACTATCGAATATAAGACGGATTGACCAAGAAAACTCAGATGAGATTCTTCCTACACACAAGAGATTAATGAAATTTGAAAGCACACGTTATATCGACGATAGCTAAAATCATAGGTGGTTTGAGCGGAAAACTTTAGTCTCGAATAGTTTCGATATGACTGAACTATATATAACTATGGGCACTGCAAAACAAAAATGGTGATAGAGACAACAACAAGTATAATTTATTCATTTGCGAATCTAGTAGACCAATAAAATTCAAGGTCAGGGCTCTTTAATGTAGTACCGCAAAGAATATCAATATGTGTAAAATTCTTGTAGTTACCGTTCTCTTACCTACCTGTCCAAATATGGAAATAATTTTCCTAATTAATAATTACATTAATGAGTTCAGAAAAGTTCCCAAATCTTTTCAAGATCTTGATACAGAATTTTCAAGATATGTCAGACTCGGATCCGTAGTAAAACTTGATGAAGAAATTTCAAAAAGCAAAATCGTTAAAGAACTTGTGCAGATTTTGACTTTCTGCAAGACCTGGTTATATTTAAGAAATACACCTAATACTGTATTTTACGTAATCATAATACATCGTATGACTAACTGTTACGTGATAACGCAGAAACGAATCGAATCACTTCTGTTTTTGTTAAAAGTTTTATGCTTTGTAACATATGAAATAAAGGAACGTATTCAATACAATCCTAGTTTAAGAATATAAGTAAGTGAAAAACATATTCAACGGATAAGTTGTGTTATTGTGGGATTCAAAGGACAAGATACATCGGTTTTTCACCATCATAATGGTTATGCTTTAAGCGAAAAACTTCATTTAGCTTTAAATATTACAACAACACACCATCATCATTGAAAAGAAGGCTTACTGGCATTGTGCAATAGTCTGATCTAATGCATTTCTGATCAGTTCCAATGGAAATGAGCCCTCGATTGGTTGAGCAATGTACGAGAGGTTTTTCATTTGATCGATCACATAAAATCTAATCGGCCAAGAAGCATACATCTGACTGAACGGATTGTTTCGTGAAACAGGATCAATAAACAACGAAATACGATATCCCGTTGCCTTAATGAAATCATCAGCAATACGAATTCGATCAGCATCCGATTTCGGTTGCTGGTAGCATATGCGACTACCAATCGGCCTGGAAAATGAAGCAAATTACCATGATATATTAGCCCGATTCATGCGAGTTCGAGTATAAAATAAGAAAGGTACTTTTATTTGTCGACTTACCATTCATCAGCTGCATGAGCTTCTTCAATATAGACGGTGATAATATCAGCACGATCATGGTAAATATCCAGTATCTGATTCATTTGTGGCACCAGACCACGAAACGGTGGTCAGGTATACGAACCAGCAATAATTAATAAAGGTCGACTGTGATGCTGAGATAGTAAAGAAACAAATTCACCATCCATATTCAATAGTTCGACGTCAATCGCCGGATCACCATTTCTCAAATCTCCTATCCTAGCACGATTATGCCGAATGTAGAGGGATAGCGCACGAAATTCAACATCATCGGCATATAACTGATGAGCACAACGTATGATTCTAAAAGAACATTAAATGTTAACCAGTATGATATAGGATTTCATCAATTTCGGTGTTGCTATAAGCTGATACAATTTCTGTTGATACCAAACTAAATACGTACCGGTCCCTATCCACCACAGTCGAAACGGGTGCCAACTTTTATCGACTCTAAGAAAAATGAATGGCGGTTCGCACCCTTCCTAATGAATTTTTGATTAGAATCTGTTGAAAACTGTGAATATGAAGTGTCACTCAGGCCCACAGCACCCAAAACCTGATTTTGCGTTACTTACTTAATTTGATAGATTTTCAAAGAGATTAAAAGTGTTGGTTAGACAAGATCCGAGAACACTGGCAAGTATTGGAAAATTTATGCTTGGATTCGCAAGAAGACTTTCGAGACAGTCACGTTTCTAAGCTGTGTATATTACAGTTATACTAAACTTGGCTCAATACTCGTGCAGACTAAGGTATAAATGTGGTAGTAGTTTTAACGACGGGGTATAAATGTTGAAATATTTGGTTACCATTTTTTCTGCAAGTATGATTACGATCAAACAGAATGTATAATTTACCATTTTGTAGATCATTGTCTCCTCTATGCAGAACTCGAAAAGTTCGTTTTTTCATGAAAAGCAGGGTATCCTTATGTGATTTACGGAATGTTATTCAATCTGTCCGTCTGATACAATGTACTGTCGTTACTTTACCTCAAACCATGCTGGACTTCATCTTGTGTAGCATTGTCACCGATCGCTTCAGTAATTAGTTTCGTTTGTAGATCGGATATCATATCCATCCAATCAATGTCTTTTCGATCTTCGATACTAGCCAATAAATGTTGAGTTTCTGCATTGAGTCTCATTTGTTCTTCTTTAATGAGCAAATCTTTGAGTACATTACGCTCTAATAAGCGATATACTCTCAGTTGCTCCGGGGAAGATGATTGTGATTGCTCGTTTAACACATCATCATCTTCAATGTCATCGTTGTCATTATCATCATCATCAATTGGCAAAATGATGGTTTTTAGGTTTGGAAGATTATTTGGCGTATAGATATTTGTAGTGCTACGATATAAAGTTAACAGAACAGTATGTGCTTGTAGAATAGATTGTTGTAATTCAGCTGATGATAAGTGATCGGCATTATCCATGTCTTCAAGCTTGAGTGCAAGGACATCTTTAACTGCTTCGGCATCATGATAAGCAAGATTTCGAAAATCTTGTCGACCACTAGTAAAATGGTACATTCCGCCTTTCAAACGCTTTATGATATGCAACGTAGATTCCTTTTGTATATTGTAGTCACTAAAAGTTCTGTGATCTTCTAGCTGTTTGCCAGCACATATAAGATGTTGTTGATCTACAGGAATACCTTCCTTGTCTTCTATTAATTGTTTCAGGGTACCTATATTCATGGTAGAATTCACAGTTAAACCAAGAGTCCGTCCAGTTAAAGTTTTAATAAATATTTGAAAATCAGTACCGGAATCTGTGACCCTAGTCTTCAAGGAGAAAACAAAATTATGTGAGATTAGAGGAAATGTATGAGCAATAATTACCTTTTCTTTACTGACTTTTGCCATTAAGACACAATTATCTTGATACAACCGGCATGACATAATTGTATCTTCCGAATTTAGCACTGTACCTTCAGCCCAATCTTTTTCGTTCGGTTTCAGACGTTCATTTAATGTACATGATCTGAATTCCATACTAGCAAATTGTTCATGTATGGCTATTTGCATTTTGATTTTCTCCAAATTATCCATTAATAGAACATTTAGTACAAGTTTTCCAAGAGTGGAACTCTCATAACTTCCAAGCCATACAGTTAATTTACCATATGCAATAAATCGGCTACTACTTACATAGCAAGATACAGTCGATCGTAGCTTGCAATCGGCTATTGGCGAGATAATATTCTGCTCCATAGTACCAATTTCCGTCCACTGTTGCAGATATCTTGGTACGTAATCCTTCTTATATTTTCTTATTATATTATTGATCAATTTATGATCCATGTATTCATTGATTATTGGATTACCATATGGATCAATAAACGTTAATGAAAGGAATTTCAATTGATCTCGCGTTTTCTTTTCATTTGCCATTCGACTTTGAAGTACATTTTCGATTTTTGCCACTTGATTTTGAATCGCTTGAATTTGAAAGATTAAGTTTTCATAAACAAAGGAAGATATTACCGGTGCAATGGCAGCAACAGCTGCCATTGTATTTATTTATAATCGACTAGTAACCTAAAAGGAGATAATTGTATTAATGCAAACTAATCACAATGCAAACAATTGTTTTCTAACAGAATTGTTATTCATTACCAGTTGCATGAAAGAATTTCTTGTATATGCAAGTGAAGGGAAAAGTTCAGTTTGCAAAAAAATTGAGTCGTCTGATATAGGACGAGACTTACCAGAAAAGATAAGAAGAACAAGATACAAGTAAGGTATGGAGAAAAAGTTCACAGAACGTTTGTAATCGATATATCTCTGCAATCACTCAAGTATTTTTAACAAGTAAACAGCCATTTTAAAGAGCATTTGAAACTGTTCTTATGCAAAACAGTGCAAAAATGAGGATGACAGCTCAAGAAATAAGAAAGATATGCATGTGAGAATATTATGAACCCGTTTTAGGATGATTTTTGAACACTTGTTGCAAAAACCTTTGCACTAAATGTTTAATCAATTTTCGATGTACTCTACTAGAATCAGCATTTCATGCTCCTTCCAGATGTATGTTTAAATTTTTTTTCTGACTTATGGTTGGGTTTGTTAAAAGGAAATCCTTGAAAGAACCAAAAGCGATATTTGTATAAAATGCTCTCTCTGTCCACAGATCTTACAGGGTAGGAGATAATATTATTCCAGCTCATATTTCAAGATATATCAAATGAATTTTATACCAAATGAAAGTCCGTCAAAAACGGAATTTAGGAGTATGACTGGTCATTCATAAGAGAAAAATGAACTATAGAAATACGAAAAGTTTCATGCGATTCGACACTCACTTGGGTGGGTAGTCATTCACAAAAACATAAAGTTCTCAGAGATTTTTTTGTTTATCGGACTTTGTAGAGCTTTCTTTGCTGATCATTTTGCTAAAAAATCTTTTTCGGTTTGGCCAATAAATAACAGTACTAAGGTCAAAATACCCAAAAATATATTAACAGTATTGGTCAGAACAGTCTGAAGTTTTCGGTATTTTGACCCTAGCACCGTTATTTATCGATCAAATTTGTAAAATGTTTTTACCAAAATGATCAGTGTAGAAAGCTCTACAAAGTTCAATAGACAAAAGCATTTTCCGAGAACTGTTTTTTCTTGGTTAACCACCGGTGAAAGGCCCGGTTATACGACTAAAACTTTAAACTTTCCATATTTCTATAGTGCATTCTTCTCTTATGAATGACCAGTCATACTCCTAAATTCCGTTTTTGACGGGCTTTCATTTGGTATAAAATTCATTTGATATATCTTGAAATATGAGCTGGAATAATATTATCTCCTACCCTGTAAGATCTGTGAACAAAGAGAGCATTTTATACAAATATCGCTTTTGGTTCTTTCAAGGATTTCCTTTTAATAAACCTAACTATAAGTCAGAAAAAATTTAAACATACATCTGGAAAGAGCATACAATGCTGATTCTAGTAGAGTACTTTTGATTCTCTCGAATCAGTTATAAAGGATCGAAAATTAATTAAACATTTAGCGCAAAGATTTTTTGCAATAAGTGTAAAAAAATCATCCTAAAACAGGTTCATAATATTCTCACATGCAGATCTCTCTTATTTCTTGAGTTGTCATCTTCATTTTTGCACCATAAACACAGTTTCAAATGCTCTTTAAAATAGCTATTTACTTGTTGAAAATACTTGAGTGATTGCAGAGATATATCGATTACAAAAGTTCTGTGAACTTTTTCTCCGTACCTGATATTTACTGATCTAATACGCATATAGATACAGCGACGAAAACTATTTTCTCTAGCTATTGCAACAACTGCTGAACTGCAGTTTCACTCCCATTTTGTTGAAATAAAGCAATAGCAACTGTCAGATCTCAAAATCTTTATCTCTTAACTGAGTTTAGTAGAATACAATATACAAAAAATTCTCTGTAAGTTCAACGCTATAAGATTTGTAAACTGTCGGCGTTAAAGTAAATTTTAGAATCACCAAAAGTTTTTAAATGCATATGATCCATCATCTATTATTATTCGCACGGCTCTAGCATATGTTTTTCTGTAGTTCGAGAAATGGACCTCATTCCTTCCTCCCTCCTTTCTTTAATTCCATTCCATTTCTGTTTTTATATTTCAAGCAAAAGAACGTGTATGTTAATATTACTGAAGTCAATCAAAAACTTACCACGGAATTATAGTTTTTCTATTCACAGTGTGAAGTTAATCATTTTAGTCATTCAAATCTTTAATATTCAAGACAAAGCTACCTAAACTTACTAGTGTGACTTTCTCGATGGAGATGTTTGCCATTGACATCCTCATTGGGTTATGCCTGATGATGCCTAATCTAGAGAGAGGAGAGAATCCTCTAAACATTTTGAAAAATAGAAAGAGCGAGAACAGACTGTAAACAGAACGTGAAAAGAATATATTCTGATTTTCGTAGGACAATACTGTTTTCAGATGTATCCTTTCTAAATGATCTTTGCTTTGTTTTAATTATTTTCTATGAATCAATCTAGATGACAATATTCACATTTCAGTTCTTTCCATGCAATCGATGAGTACCTTATATCAGAGGTGGGCGACGGACAAGAATCCTCGTGAGGCCTCGCGGGGAAGAATTTTTGGAAACCTGACGAGGGGCGGGGCGACGACGAGGAAAGAACTGCATGAGGCGAAGCCCGCGGGGGACATTTTTGTTTCTTAGCGAAAGACGAAATGGAAACGCTAGACGGAATTCTTTTCAGTTCAACTGAAAAATACGTATGTTTAGTAGAGGACATCAGTTTCCTCAAGTGGAAGCTAAAGCTCTAACAGTAACAGTTGTATATTGTAAAGGCTATTTCTATCCTATTTTATTTATTATTCTGTCTTCGTGTTACGTGCTCTGTATATAAGACACATAAGACATCCTAGTTATTTGATTTTCTCTTTTGCGGATTTTCTCTCTCTCTCATTTTGCTTTGTTACTTCACTACATCAGTTCTACGAATGGGTCGAAAATGGCGCAAGCGGCGGTAAAGAGTTAATAGAACAATCTGTTCAGTGTATCTGTTTTCTCTTTCTTTCTTCTCTTTTGTTTTCTACTGTCGTTTCTTTCGTTTTCTTGCGCATATGTATATCTAGGGTTGATTGTCAGCAATTTGTTATATTAGCATCTTAATGTTTAGTGCACCGGACTCAGGAGGATCGGTGAAGACGTGGGAAAAACTTTGTCAATAGTTGACGATGGATGAGGCGGTGACAAGGCAGAAAGCTTACGGGGCGGAGCCCGCAGGGAAGAATTTTTGAAAACTTGACGAGGGACGGGGTGATGACGAGGTAAGAACTACACGAGACGGAGCCCGCGGGGTGCTAAAAACAGTCCATCGCCCACCTCTGCTTTAAATATCATCTTTGGATCGCGTTTTATTAAACCCTTCATCTATTTTCTCTCGACAGTTTCTTGATATTTATCAAAAATGCTTCATCGTATTTCCATCTTATATGTATATAATAAGAAGGTTAGATACTGCCGAAATATACCTTCCTCAGAATTTGCCCGATCGTGTTTTTACTTTTCTGTTCGCCAAGAATCAATTTATTGGCATTTGATGAGACATTCAAAGATTCTTTAAGATTTTAAGCGAACATTATTAAAAGTCTTGATACGTTCTTGTAGCATTCTAACAGATACTTACCTAATCTTAAAAAAGGCTTAGATAAATAAAAACGTATATTTTTATAAGACTTTACTAAGATCTTAACGGAACTCGAGTGAATTCTACAATATGAGCATTGCTACGTCTTCTTTCTAGATTGTACTAATCGTTATTAAGAAGACATATAAAAAATAACTAAGCTTTAAAAATGATTACCTTTCTAGCTGTCTCTTAGAAGCAAATATCTGATAAATAGCAGTTTACTTGTCGTTGTGTTAAAGACACATTATTTGAGCTTGAAATGACACCCAAAGACTAACCTTTTTCTACAGAATAATAAATTTCTTTTTCAATTGTTTTTTCCCTTTTTCACGACAAAATCTTTATGACGCGAATTTGATGTAATAAATGAGAAACACACATCAAACATTTCTATTACGTCCTTTAATGTAATGTCACAATAATTGTGCAATTTTGTTTGCTCATTAATCACTGTGGGTGATGTCATGAAAGAAGAAAGCAAATGAAATCAAAAACATTACCTTGCATAATGTTTTCTGTTTTGTTTGATGGTTTTTGCGCTGAAAGGGGTCATATTTACCAATAATCAGTCTGATAGCATTAAACATCTAATTGCTGAACTAAGAGACGCCTACGGAGCCATCTGATGCATCAGCCGTCAAGTATATATCTCCTAATTCTGGAAACTTCTTCAATTCGCACATTCAGTCGGTACTGACAAATTGATCCACAAAGTAGTAGAAATGATCCCGAGAGTGTCTACTGTGTAATCTTGCGCTTATCCAATAATATGAATCGCTATGATAATATGTTTCATGTATTTCGGCACAATGCTTTGTATTGGAGGCCCATAGGATTGGGTGAAGGAACATTGGGATGGAAAAGAAACGGTTGATCCAAAGAATTCGGGAGATTTTTTCCAAATTAATTGACTTTCAATTGACTTTTGTACGTGTTAACCAAAGGTATTGTAGATGCGTAACAACGATGACACTAAACTATGTTACTTTCTGTTAGGCTCTGCTGTTCATATAAGATGCACTCACAAACGAGAGAAAAGTATAATACCTTTATAACAGAACGAAGCAAAATGGTGGTAAGAGTAATACACCGTAATTTGCATATATAAACAAGCTTTGAATTTATTGCACAGAAACTAGAGTTTATATCACATGTGTAAGACCAGAGTCAGACTCTACGTGACGTCTCTTTAATAATCTCTTTTCTCTCCAAAACTTCCTCTAGCGTGAGCGCGTGCCGAGCTTTAGAAGCAAATCGAATCCATACTAAACGCGTATGAACGTTCTGTCGATAAATGCATAATCAAGAACCTCATCAGAAGCAAGTAAACATATGTACCTATAGAAGTAGAAAAACTGGATTCAAAATGTTTTAAAGTGTGCTCTACAAAGTGGTCGAAAAAAATGGATGGGAAGACTGCCCCCTTAAGTGCAACTATCAGGCAGCAGGACAGGATTCTCAAAGGTGGTTTTGCCATTAGGCATGAGCCAGTTAAAAACCGGTCTGTTTAGCAACATTTGTAGCGGTTTTTGCAGATGATGTAGTTCTAAAAAATAATGCCTTTATGGATGATCTAATCTAGTTACAAATCGATGTGTCGATTATTATTCTGTATTTTTACAAAAGTTTCTCCTAAACCGCAGTATTTACGCGAAGTTTTACAACAAAAGTTTTATAAAAAAGGTAATATTCTTTAAAAATCAAGAAGGTAAAAATTTAAAACTCAAGAAAGTAGAAAATCGCTGATAAATTCGTATATGGATCAACTGAAAATCGTTCTTTATTTTCTACAACTTATTGTCAAGTTTACGGTGTACAGACAATTCTCGTATTTGTTCTTAAAAGCAGTTGGATGGAGATTCTATATCATCTAAAAAAGTGTGAATAAATCTATTTATTACGATTGTTGAAGTGTATTTTGATAATATTGTTGTATTACTACTTAAAGTACATACAATTGTTATTGAAAGAAATAATGCCATAATTAAATACATAAATGTCACAACGTTTGCTGATTGTATAGATATTTGTATGCTGTTAGTTAACACAAAATGGTCTTCCCATTCGTTCCACCATTTTCTGTTTGCTGGTATCATCATCGTCAGACTTTGAAAGTATTTTGATACTTCTAAATAATTAATATCGTTATTAATACCTTCTGTTAACCGTACTTGTTTCTTCCAGTTTTTTAATTTTTCATATGCTAATCCAAGTAATTCGCATGGATACCCATCTAAAATATTTATATGCGTTAAAAAGTAATGTTTACAGGAATGAGTTTTTAAACAATTCAAAGTAAAGTTAGTCCACTTCGTTGCCAAATCGTCTGTTGTTAATGAAACAGTTAGTTTTTCAATTTCACATAACCATAAAATAGTTGTTTTAATAAGATACGCTGGCAAATATATTTCATTTACTGTTACTTGTTTCAAACAACCATAATAAATACATCTGGCAATTTTACATAGATTTTGCTCAACGATTGAACGTTGATGTGCAAGTGTCTTTTCAATGTCTGAAAACGAATAACGAAACTCAAAATTAGCTTCATTTTCTGCAGTTTTTTTCGACCATTTTGGAATAATACAGACGACACTTTTTCTAACGAATTCATATAAAACAGGACGGTTGTGTTTAAGTCGTTCAATAAATGGATTTAATATCATTGGCCAAAATGTCAGTTGTTATGCTGGAACATTATCAACATCATCCTTTTCCATGTTAATATTGAGTAATTATAGTATCAAGCTTGATATCAAGCTTTCGAATAAATGTGATGCTGGAGTGTCTATAAGACTTTTCAATAATTTGAACGTCGGAACATCAAATGTTGTATTTTCTATTGTTTCTAACATTTGTAGCAAATGTTTAAATTTAGCAATTAAGTAGGATACATAACGTTGATCTTCAATCGTTTGTTCTTTTAACCTTTCTAAAACTTTGCGTTTCATTCGATCTGAGCTCATTAGTTTATACTTAGATGTGCAGCAATAAACACTTGCACTACTCGCACTGAAAGGATAATCTGATGTAATACCAAGTGATACATCTCGATTTTGAAGATCCTTGCATAGTTTTTCTTTCACCTTCGTTCCATTAATACAGTAACGACCCTAACAATCATAATCTGATAAATCATTTAAATATGGTGTTGTTATACCGTTCCATTGAATTTTAATAAAATTCGATTCCTGATCTATTGGTAATATATCTGTTTCATTCGAAACAATTCCAAGAAGATAAATATAATCTAACTCACTCACAGAGTCTCCAGTTGCGTCTAGACATTTCATTAATAATCCACCTTCTTCTGCACTACCATACAACAGACGTTTAGGAAACAGAGATGCTAAAAACATCTAAAAATAAATAAATAAATAAACATCAAATACCGTAGTAAGAGAATATTTAATAAATATAAACAAACGAACCGTTGGTTCTACGAATAAAAGAGAAGAACTCATCTTTCCTAAAATTGTGATCGAAAGAAGTTGCTAGTAGGGGCCAGATGCCAGTCCTGGAGCTGTGCGGACATCCGATGCCATACCTAAGGGATGAAAAATTAAGAGGTCATTTGACTCCTGTTTTTAAGAGGACAATTTAAGCTATCTAATCTTGAATAAAAACTCTAGATTTCTCTTCTAAGTATTTGAGCCATGATCTGGATTTCCAGGAGTCTCTGGGAGATATATTTTATAGAAAGATTTTAAAAAGTCGTTGCTTAGGAAGCTCAATGATCTTGGTAAAAAACCTCAGACCTCGCGTACTGGTCGTTTGAAAGTTCTCGGAAGAATGGTCACTTACCCTCTTAAAACAATTGCATCATTTGAGAAAGGTCATTGAAAGTTTTGAGTTTTAAATTTTTACTCTTTCTATGATTTATTTACAAATTTGTTATGTGTATCAAGTCTTTTGTTTCAAGAGCTATCCCCAACTTTCATACATCATTCGAATCACCATCCGACAGTGAACAAAAGTACGTATGGATTTAAGAAACTTTCATTTCCGCGCTAAAAAAGTCATCATTAGTTTAGCAAAGTCAGAATTCTGCGCGTGATTCTCAAAACAAAACTCAACTTCTATATAATACAAATATCGTATTCGGAATCAGGATCAAAAATTGAGTCGACTGATATGTATCTCCAACTCGTTTGAGTAATTGAATTTTTTTCGAATTTTAACGTTGGAAAAATCATTGGGATTTTCACTAAAAAATGAAAATAGACTAAAAATGTAAAAATACACATCAGTGGATTCAGTTTTTGATTCTGATTCCGAATATGATATTTGTATTATATAGAAGTTGAGTTTTGTTGGAGAAAATTGAGAACCACGCGCAGAATTCCGACTTTGCTAAAATAATGATGACTTTTCTCAGCGAGGAAATGAAAGTTTCCGTCCTGCTTGTAGACATCAGACCGGTAAACTAGTGACAAACCTACTAGGATATATTCACTTTTTGATACTGAACTTGAATAAAATAGTTCGGTTTTTTTCCTATGTACTGTTGTTTCAAGATGATCAGAATGTTTCTCGATCAAAACATCTAAAAAGGCTAATTTATTGTCTTGTTCTATTTCCAGTGTGAATTTTATGTTCGGATGAATTTTGTTGATGTTGTCTAATAATTCAAAAGCATCATAAGTGGTACCGTTAATTAGAACTAGAATATCATCAATGTATCTTATCCACATTTTTACTCTTTTTTCATTTTCTAATGTTAAAATATGTTTGTTTTCTAAGTTCTCCATGAAGAGATTCGCTAAAATAGGTGCTAATGGACTACCCATTGACACTCCATCTTCTTGCCGGTAAATATTATGACAGAAACGAAATTGAACGTTACGTGTAGCTAAGTTGAATAGAATAAAAAGCTCTGTTTTAGTTATTTTTATAACCTTCTTCTTTTTACTCTGATCCCATATTTTGTTGACTGCTATTTTTATCGCTTCTTCAACTGGTATACTCGGACAGGGTGATTCCACCTCAAAGCTAGCCAGTATATCATTTGAGCTAAGTTTTATTTGTTTTAAACGAGATACTAGTGCGAAAGAATCTTTTATAAACGATTTTAAATTGTTGTCACAAAATTTTAGTTGCTCTGCTAAATATTTGGATAAACGGTAACATGGTGCATTACATGGATAATTCGATTTGTGTATCTTCACCGTACAATATAAATATGGTATCGTACATCCACTAACGAAAAGACGATCATAAGTCTGCTGATCAATTTTTACCTTTCAACCGTTGTTTCAATCTGTTGTTAATTTTATTTTCTTCGTCTAATGTCTCATCTGATGAACTGATATTGAATTTCGTTGGATCATTTAACATACTTATCACTTTTTGATAGTAGTCAATTTTGTTCATGATTACAATTGCGTTACCTTTGTCAGCTTTTAATAGGACTATCTTGCTGTCATTTTTCAACCTTCTCATTGCATCTATCTCATCGTTCGATAAGTTAGCTACCCGTTTGTGAACTACCCGATACAATAGATTTTTAGCAGCAATTTTGATTTTATCATATACTTGATCCCACTTTATCAACTTATTTTTCTTATTATTCTCCTTTATCCAATACATACCATGTTCAATATCCGTTTTTAAATCCAACGTTCTTGTTACCTTCTGTTCAATGCAAAATTTCCATCCACGACATAAGAGCTTTAATTCATGTTCATCAAGAATACGATTCGACAGATTATAAACTAACTTTTTTCGATCCAAAAGGGTTGATTTCATATGACTAACAGTCGCACCGTGTAACTTTCTCAGTTTTTCTTCGTGAACTGCCTGGAATGAACCTCGAATCTTCCAGCTGTTGCACATGATCAATCAATCAAGGGAATCAATTTTCTAAATGGGAAAGACTAATGTTTCTGCTTTGGTTGTATACCTAAGAGATAGAGTATGACTGTTTGATAGTGAATTTAACTATCCTCAGGTTATTTTCCTAACATATCCGACAA